CCCCCCCCTCTCACGGTCCCATCCCTCGCGGCGTGCGCTGGGTCGTGTGCGTGCGCACGCACGCGAACCGCGCCACGTACGTTTCTATCTATGCCCGGCGTTTGTCAACCAGCTCCCGTTGGGCTACCCGGGCTGTATCCTCCTGGCGCTCTTCCCTCCCCTCTGGAGGGCCGTCATGGACAAGCGCGTGCTCAAGCTGCGGAGCAAGAACCACCCGGGAAGGGCTTGGCGCCACGGGCCCCCTCCCTAGTGGGACCGGCAAACAATCACAACATCGAAATTTTCCTTTCATGTANGGGGGGGGGGGGGGGGGGGGGGGGGCAACGTGGTGACGCAGTCCCTATCTTGTGATGGTGGTGGAGAGTAGGTGGGGGCGAAGAGGAGATATTGTTGGCTGCGTCTTGTGGTGCTTTGAGTGTTGTTCTGTACGGGTACAGCCGTGGTGCGTGGCAACGACGTGCTTCGGCCGTCTCCCCTCCTTGTGGATATATTCCTGGAAAAGGTCATGGTAAACAGCTCAGACAGAACAGGTGTTCGAAGCGTTCGTTGAGAGCGAAGTTTTGACTGTTGGTTTGTGGCGAATTTCGATGGCCAGGCGGTTCAGATACGCGCTGACTGACAAATGTTAGCCCCGGGTGGCATTGTTTTTATTGTTTGTTTTTAGCGAATGGGAGAAGGAAAACTTCTCTGTGCCGTCGCACAAATCCCCACGACTGTGGGTACGTCATATTTGCGCTTAAGTACACTACGAGGTTCAGATCATGTACATAATCATGTTTCACACTATCGGTGTACATTTCTCGGATTTCTACATGTGAAAATCTGTGCATGGCGTGTCTGCGTGTTCTGTCGGCTAAGCTGTCCGTCTAGGCTGTTCGAATTCCTTCGTGTGCATTTCTGTCTCGTTCATCTTAAGATGCATTGCCGCTACTGTCGCTGTCGTCGTCTTGACATTGAAGAACCAACAATAACTGTTGAACTTTTTGGCAAAATTGGCAAGATACGAGAACCTCTCGCCTTGCCGAGAGAGAGGGGGGGGGCGCAGCAGGCTGCCAGCAACCGTTTTCAGGTGGCCTTCCCTATTCGCGTGTGTGGGTGTTTCCATGTCACGATGCTCACCTGCGTGGCACACGCAGGATTTCGGAACCCGAAATGTCCTGCGGAATCAGAAGGGATGGATGTACCAGGCGAATCAAACTAAACTTGAAAATATGCAGGCGCGTGGTGCATGGCTTGTTTGTTAAGAAGAGATGCTCGGGAGACCGACCGGTACGCCTGTGGCGCGCCTCGTATGTATCCCCTTGGGAGAGGCGTGCATGGGCCCGCCAGCAGTCAAGGGCGAGCTTGCCGTNGGGGGGGGGGGGGGGGGGGGGGGGGGGGGGGGGGGGCGTCGATTGGTGTCGGTTATACCGCAGTGAGAGATGTGTCAGGGGTCCGGATGGGGACGAAGGCAACAAGGAATGGATGGTTGTGTAGCCTAGGGAAGGGGGCCGCCAGATGGAGTTTGCGAAGTAAAGCACATTTTTTTTTTTACTCCTGGTGGAGTTTTCGTCGCTTGGCAAAGACGTTGTAAAACAAGCCAATTCACTTCGTGAACTCGGCAACCAGGTTACCGTTTTTTTTTTACCTCCGTTTTTTTTTTTGGCGGTAACCATAATGGTGGTCGAGTAGATCATGTTGTGCGGGGTGGAGAACCCTCGCTCCGCGCAAGGGGGATGATCGCACCACGTTGTGTTAAAGTGGTCAAGCACCCTCGAGGCAGTTACACAGTGCTTANCCCCCCCCCCCCCCTGGTGGAGTTGGGGTTCTGTACAAAGGGAAATATGTTATTCGACGGAGACACAAAACTGTACGTAGCATACTTTGGAAGGACTACTGCTCGCGATATCATTGCCTATCGGTCGGTGTGGAAGGATATTTCTGCCTCTCGCTCTCTCTGACGGCGTTTTTCTTTTTTTTTCGCTCCTCGTTCGGTGTACGAACCTTCCGAGACAGGCGCTCATTTTCGCGAATTAATTTGGATGATAATTTGATTTTGGTGTCATCGTCCTTGCGTTCCACCGGTTTGGTCGTCTGCAGAGGAAAGCAAACCGTTGTACCGCGAGGAGCTTGCTCTGTAGGGGGTTGGGGGGGGACAACCCGCCGCGAAACTTGAAGATTTGGGACGTTGGATAGCGCGTGGAATACACGCCCTCTTCCTTTGTTTGGTTTTGCACCGTTTTCATCCCCTCGATCATCCCTGAAGGCCTTTTGTTGTGTCAAGAGGTTCGCCAAACTTTGCTCCAGGCCCAGTCGGGTAGGATGTGTGACTGACTGGTTGCCGTGGGCGTTGCTACGCGATGCACGACAAGATCGCCTCCTAGGTAGCGTGCCGTGTGTGGGAGGGGGAATGCGGGGCAGGGGCTTTCCTATGCGGCGGAGCGATTAGCGTTGACGTCAAGAGCCTATCGTAGGGGATGCGTTCGGAGGGCGGCTCGCCACTGGGGTGGGTATGGGGGGCGAACAGCATCGGTATGTGGATGGTTCGCTCAACTTTGTTTAGGGGTTGGGTGTGTGCAGGGAGTGGCGATGGGTCGCCAACCTCCGTGTGGGGAAAAGCTCCTAGCGCCTGCCGTGCTCTGTGTTGCGCGCTTCCAGAAAGCACCGCTGTACATGTAGCACCATTTCGGATCAGAGCAGCAGCGGATGGGAGACGACAACTGTCTATCGTTTTGTTTGGTCTATGTGGTTGGAAGGATCAGACCGGGGGAGGCGGTAGGCGGGCGGGGACGTCTGATTTGCGATTCTCGACGGTATATGCCGCCGCGGTGGTCACGCCCAGATTTCTTGCTGGGTGTCTAGTTCTTGGTGATGACATTCGGGGAGCGTGCTGACACGTAGAGGAAGCACAAACACGCACTACGTGTGTTCTCATCCACAGTTTCGAGTGTTCCACCTTAGGGAGCGACGTATTCCGACGCCCGTGTTTATCAACACTGACATCCTACACAGGATCATCTTGACCAGGGATACTCAATCAAGTGTCTGCCTGAAAAAAACACACCGCTGAAAAATACCAACCTTTAAAGACACATTTGTCCAACAAATACGGTAGCTAATAAGGGCAAAAACGCTCAACCCACCCCTCGTTGTAGACGAAAATAGGTTAATCCGATGGTGGCGCCACTTCGAATGATCCCTTTGTACCCCGTGAACATGATAAAATCAATGAAAGGAAAATCGATCGCGGTGTCTGTCACACGGGCGACGGGCGAATACAGCTCGGTTCTCCCGCCGGGCATTGTTGCGCCCGCAGAGCACAAATCAAGAACTACACCACCAGCCCTCGACGCCGGCAGCTTTTTTGTGATACCTAAAAAACCCGGGGCGACGAAAGTGACTCCACATGATTTGTGTAGCTATTATGTAGTCGATGTAAGAGCGACTTGGCAGAAAAGTTGAAATGTACACTCCTAGCACTGCTGCTATGCTACTTCCACGCCCACCCGCCGATCGCTTTCTGTGGCACCACCAAAGAATGGATCAAGGCTTCCGTCTGGTCGCCGTCAGTGGTCCATTTGCTCTGTACGAACTCCTGGAATGCTCTTCTGGTGTCCCGGTTATGGCTATGCCTCCTTCTTATCGACATCGTCGTCGTCGTCGTCGTCGTCGTTTTCCCATTCATCGCCCACGCTCCAATCGAGGTCAACGTCCAACGCATCGAGGCCCCTGTGACATGTGTGACACGAAGGCAATGCAAGAAGTAAGAGACAACCATCAACAACAACAAACAAGAAATGCGTTTGAAACTACATGCGAACATCGCAAACTACAATCGGCGGGCATCAGCTTCAGACAGCTGTGGGTTTTATCTCACGATAGCAAAAAAAACATTTCGTCTCTATCAACAGCACATACCAGGTTTAGAACCGGTCTCCAATGTCGGTCAGTTCAGCGACAACAAACCGATGATTTCCATCCCCGCACTGCACCATGAATCCCACCCCACAGGAACGATTGGCCATCGGTGATAGATCCTGTGGGAACAACGACCCGTCCTCTCGTTGGGCGCGTAGTCAATGGTCCACCAACGAAGGCATGCAAAACATAAGAGTACGCCCCCCCCCCCCCCCCCCCCCCCCCCCCCCCCCCCCCCCCCCCCCCCCCCCNCCACCCCCCACACGCCTCCCCGCCCAGGACCCACTTGCGCATCTCCTCAAGCCCCGAGACCTCTTCCAACACGCTCGGGGATTGGCAAGCACTCTCCACGAAGCCCCACCCCTGGGACCTATGCGCCGCCACCACCGGCTTGGAGCACGCCGTGCAGCGGTCAAATGCTAGCGCGGACGGTGTGACGGTGGTGAAGCTCGCGATGAAGCCACGGACCTGTGTGTGCGCGTGAGGACACGACAATATTCATCAGGGCCTGAATAAGCAAATAAGACGCTCGTGCACACATGTTCATCGCGAGTGGGGTCACAGAAGGAAGGTACACGTGCGAATTGGCACGATGTAGATCTGGTCTCTCGACAGATATAGAAACAAAGCTCCTTTTCGTATGGATGGCGCCCGGTTGATGCTGTAGCGTGCAGACTGCTACCAAATCAGCCGTAGAGGCTTGAGCCCGCAGGTGAAAAGCGTCAACAGAACGAAGATTCATTTCCAACATTCTAGTTTCTTTGCCAAAAGGACGGAGCAGTTTTGGTGCGGAAGGGGAGGCGGGGGGGTGTACACATAGTCGTGCATGCCGTAGTCGTTAGACCATTGACCTCGTATCCCTACAAAGACGGGGGGGGGGGAGCGAAACGATTTCCTGTTGCAAGGGAGCCCGTACCTCGATACCACAACACACGACAAACCAGTTCACGTAGTTCCCTCTCCTCATAACCCAACAGAACGAGAACGCCTGCCTACACCAAAAACATAGGCGTTAGAACAAATACCTGGTGTGGTAACGCGCCGAGGGGATGCCCCCCGCCCTGCCCCGCCGCTTGCGCCGCCGCTTGCGCCGCCCCGAGTCCCCTCGCTCTCCCGGCGCTGTCGTCCGCCGGCGCTCTCTGCCGAAGGGGGTGGTGGAGCAGCCCCACGGTCATCTCCACCGCGGTGGCGGCCGCCATCGGGGCTAGACCCGGCCGGGTTACGGTGCACTGCTGGTCGAGGGTCCGGTTCAGGGAGGAGTTCTCGGGGGCGACGACGTCCGTGCAGAAGTAGCACCCGAGCCGGGGGGGCGTCGCCCGTCGGACGGCCGTAGCGGCGGAGTCGGCGGCAGCTGTTGTCGTGGTGGTGGCATCGGGACAGGGAGGGCAAGACGGCGCCATAGGCTCACTCTCAGGTATTCCAGCTTCCGGTGATGACGCCGCTGCTGCGGATGCTGCGGATGCTTGGGCCTTTTCTGATTCTAACTCCTCCGCCGTCTTCGCGGGTGACGCCGGCGCCCCTACCGCGGGTGCCTCTGCCTGATGTTTTCTCCTGCTGCCCTCGGTCGAAGCCTCCCCCCCTCCCCCGTCGTCCGGGCTCCCGCCGTGCCTCACCACGAGGAAAGAGTCCAGCCCGAGCGCGGCGTTGACGCAGATCTTGTCGTGCTTGGCGGCGAGGAGCGTCGGCAGCCAGCGGGACTCCCTCGAGTCCGTCACCACGAACACCACGTCGTGCGAGGAGACGAGCTCCTCGAGCTTCTCAGCGTCGCGCCTCGCCCGCGAGGTCTCCGCCGGCGTCGTTAGCGGGTGGCCGGGCATCGGGATCGTCAGTACGTGCCCCGAGGACCTCGCCCCCGGGTACACCGCCGACAGGGCCGCCGCCGCCGCCTCCGCCTTGAACTTGCCCCCGCCCTTGCAGTCCTCGAAGGTGAAGAGCGACTGCCGGACCGGGTTCGAGTACGCCACGCGTCCGTTGTCCGCGAAGGTGATGTGCTGAACCCCCCAGCCCATGAGGCACCGGGCGACGGCGCAGCCCAGCGTGCCTGCGGCGGCAAGGGGTGAACGGTGTTGGGCGAAACGGTAGAATAGCACCGAACACCTCACTCAAGCAACGAGAGAGACTAACTACGTGCTCGCTACACCCCGGTGATGGGTTGACACCAACTTCTCAAATCCGAATCGTCGTTCTAATACGATTCCCACCAGCACAGCCAAGAAGCAAGCAACAACCAACAAGAGCCGCTAAGCCTTAAGAGCCCTGCACACCACCGCAGTTCCCGAAAACACCTCGGCTTCACCGGACGCTTGCCACCCCCCACCCACCCCCACCCCCGCAAAACCCACCCGCTCCCAACAGCAAGCACTTTGTCTCGGCCAGCAGCTCCACATCCAGCTCGGGGAGGGCCCTCCAGCGCATGAGCTTGATGTTCAGCCGCACGCTGTTCTCGGCAAGCCTCGCCGGGTCCAACACGGAGCTGAGGTCCGACATTCGGGGCCCCGGGCGGCCGGCGGCGTTCGGCTCCCACCCGAGGGACCCCACACGTGCCGGGAGCCACGCCGCCTTTACCGCCGCCGCCGCCGCCGCCTCCCCGGGACCTCCCGAAGCGGAAGGCGCCGCGGAGAGGTCGATGTCGAGGACGACGCTCCGGCTGAGGACACTCGGCCCGCCGCCCGTAGTGGGAGCAGCAGCACCGCCTGCATGGCGGGGGTGGAGGGGTGATGGCCTTAAGGTATGTTCTTGTTTGGTTTGTTCGCCGTTGTGTTTTCGTTAGGATGATGACTTTGTAGTGTGTATTCCTGTCTGGTTAGTATATGTATATGTTTGCGTTGTCGCTTGTGTTGACGGTGGGGCAAAGCGGGAACTCGGAAGGACGTACGTACGCATATCAGACATGCTTCGTGCAACATCAACTGGGGTGCCGTTCGGCCTTCTTTGAATAACATGTGGCGCGTGCGTGCGTGGCTTGAAAGGTGGGACAGAGTATCGCACACGCTGCGGTACGCCCCCCCCGCCACCGTTCACCATCGTCGCGTACACACGTATCGTGGGCAAGAACACTTTCTGCGAGCAGCACGAAAGCTGCGCACGACAAGGGCAGCGTGAAACGAGTGTTGCGAAAAAAACGGGGTCGATTCCCGCAAACACGTCAAAAGTCGCCGATCACCTCCACCAAAAAATCCCCAAAAAATCGTCAGGTCTCAACCGCAACTGAGACCGCCCGCTCTCCCGACTAGACTGGCAAAAAACAACCCTGCAAGTGCAATTCAGCTGACGACAGTCGTCCGTCACCTGGCGTTCACCAAGTCACAACAAAAAACGCGGCCGCGCTCACCGCAGCAAACAATAGCCGCGCTCTCTCGGCAACAACCGCCCCGGCATTTTCGCGCACAGGCTAATGCCTCCTTTTCCTGTGACCGCACAAAAAAGCGAACACCAGCCAGCAGCTGAAACGGAAGCTCACCAGCAGCAGCAGCAGCAGCAGCAGCAGCAGCAGCAGCACCGGATCCCGCCCCCGCCGATGCGCGCGGCACATGCTCCCTAAAGCAGAGGACCCTCGCCCGTTTCACGCCCCACCTGGCCGAGAGCAGCACCAGGAAGTTGCGCAGGGGCCACCCGGGCATCCCTCCCGGCTCGGAGCACGGGTCCACGAACCCAAACACCACCGTGTCGTCGCCGACCTCCCCGCCAGCCCTCTCCCTCTCAAACTCCAGCAGCGACAGCACCCTCAACCCCGCCGCCGCCTCCTCCCCATCACCATCACCCCGCGGGGCCTTCACGACGGCGAAGAACGGAGGGCAGTGGGGGCGCCCGGTGCCCTCCACGGATCGGGCCCACAGGTCGGCGAGGCCCCGCACCACCGAGGCGGCGTCTGCGGGGCCCCCGAGGAGGACTCCGGGGGCGGCGGCGGAAGCCGGTCTCGAGGAAACAAGCCGGAAGAGGGCCTGGCTGCCGAGGGTCGGGAAGGCGAACCAGTGGAGGAACGCGCTGTTCTTGAGGTCGGCGAAGGTCAGGAGCAGGAAGCGGAGGAGGCGCTCGGGCTCGGCGACGGCCCGGTCGCTCTCGACCGCGTCCGCCCACGTCTCGCGAGCGATCGCCGCCAGCGCGGCGGGCTTGTCGAGCTCCTTGAAGGCCTGGCACGCGCGGGCGCGCGAGCGCGGGTGCGCGCGGAGTATGTACATGTGGCGAGTGAGGGAGGCGGGGATTTGAGAAAAATTTGGCAGGCAACTTACTGGTAGTGCTTTCCCGACGCTACGCGCTAGGCTACCGATAACCGTCACCAGTCCCGCGGGGGTTTTTGCTCTTGTACTGCGGTCAGGGTGTTGGTTGCGATCACAACTGGTCGCCGAGAGCAAAAAAAAACAAAGACAAAAATCAGATTGTCTACGCTGCCGTGCGCTTGTTCCTGTTCTGGCACTCCGGTCACTACTACCCCCGGGCGTTGTCCGTTGCTGATTCCAACGGCAGAAACCGCCCACCCAGCCAAGCACCCACCCCGCTGGAGAAACACCCAACGAGTCATGCGGTGGCACAAACAGGCGACTGCAGCGAACAAGGCACCATTCACACTAAGACTGGCCGCTCACTTCCTTGGTGTTGACGTTCTTGACGTAGCCAATGGCGCGGCACTCTTCGAACCGCGCCCCCGGTCTCGCCGCCCGCCGCCCTTCGTCGTCCGGAGAATCGAAAGACGATTCGCCCAGTAGGTTGAGGCGGCAAGGTGCCCTGGCGTCGTGGCCGGAGCCATAGAACCCGTATATCGGCTGTCGGTAAGTGTAGGGTGGGGGGGGTTGCGGCGACGATTTAGGCATTGTTATTTTTCTCTTTGTCGGTCATTGGTTAATCTTATCTTGTTGCCTGGATATGTAATGCGCATGCATGTATTTCTCCGGTAGTCTTACGGTGTTGCAGGAGAGAGAGAGAGAGAGAGAGAGAGAGAGAGAGAGAGAGAGAGAGAGAGAGAG